GCCAAACTCTTTTCCTCTTGTCATGTTTCTCTAGTGCCTCTATTGACAAAGCTTTGGCACCAGCTGGCAAAGGAAACTATTAAAAGGCCCAGCTCCAGCCGATACTGGTTTGGCTCAATGGATAATCAATAAAATATATTAAAAAAAAAAAAAAAAGGCCCAGCTCCATTTTTCACAAAGTAGGCAAAAAGCATGCATTTGGAACTCAAATTATAAATAAAAACAGCCTGTTCAGGTCCCTTACTTTGGCACATATTAGGTGCTCAATAAATACTTGATGGAAGAATAAATGATTTGTAACATATAACATAAGCAAAAACAACTGCTTGCTTGTATACTCCTCTTTTTATTGAAACTGTCAGGCCTAGCTTCCAACAAGAATGCTGTTGCTAAGTTCTCCCCTATGGAACTTCTGAAGCTCCCCACTGTGCGGCAGGGATAAAACAAGCACCCAAGTGACTTCATATCTCCGCTCCACAGTTTGTGAGAAGCACAGTGAGAGAAACACCAGCATAGAGAAGAGACAAATGCAACCATGGGCACCACTTTATGTTTGGGCCCAGGCTGAGCCACCGGTTGCTTCACTTGGCATCTTGCTGAGCCATCACTGTAGATGATACAGATCTGTCTTGCAGGCAAAATGTGAAACCTATCTAAGTGCTGTATTTTAAAACTATTACAAAAAATGAAGACAACATCCTCATTTCTTTAGACACTCTTTCTCTGACCCAGACTGCTGAGAGAGTTTAGGAGAAATGATCCTGCTACAAGTGATTTGATACTTCCTAACAGAGCAAAGTTTCCCCTTTGTCCTCTGACCCTTTCCATAGCTTTTTAGGATCTTTTATTAAGATTCTCATTCCCTGTCCTGGGAAAGGACTGCAGAGAATTTCAAGAAGTGTGGCCCCAAAAATGAGGAAGCTTCCTACACTGACACAATGTGGCATTCACTCAGATATTCACTGAGGGCCAACAATGCAGCAAGACATCATTCTAGAATTTGGAATGCAGCCATGAACCCAACAGGTCCCTCTTCTCATGGAACTTGCTAAGATTCTGGCAAAAACAGATAACATGGAACTTTCTACTGAGGCACCGTGAGGGACTTAAGAAACTATTGAAAAACTCCAGTGGCAACGAATTACCAACTGTAGACTAACACATGGTCTTTGCTGATGTTCTTAGAAAATTTCACTGTTCTTGTGTAGAAATAGTATCACTAATCTAATTTTTGGTTCTTGCAAAGGTTTCAAAACAGTGCTGACCAACGGGAATATGGAAGCCACATAAAGTAATTTAAACTTTTCTAGTATCTGGGCAAAAAAAGGAAAAATAAATATACAAATTAATATTAGTAAAATAGTTCATGCAATCAATTATATTTTAAAAATTAGAATTTCAACATGCAATTATTATAAATTATTGAGTTATTCCACTTTCTTATTTTTGTACTAAATTCCACATTGGTGTCTGTATACAGTACATATCATTTTGGACTGGCCACATTCCAAGTGCCCAACAGCCATGAGTGGGGTATTGAACAAAGAAGACTCTGAAAACTGCCCACGGAGCCCTTCATCCTCTTATTTTGGGGATGGAGAAGATAACTGCTTAATTGAAACATTCTCAAGTTTCAGGATTTTAATAATAATTTTTAAAAATATATTTTATTGATTTTTTTACAGAGAGGAAGAGAGAGGGATAGAGAGTTAGAAACATGGATAAGAGAGAATCATTGATCAGCTGCTTCTTGCACACCCCCCACAGGGGATGTGCCCGCAACCAAGGTACATGCCCTTGACAGGAATCGAACCCGGGACCTTTCAGTCCACAGGCCGATGCTCTATCCACTGAACCAAACCGGTTTCGGCAGATTTTAATAATAATTTCAAAAAAAAAACTTTCTAGAGGAAGTTGAAGACCACCATAGCCCTCCTTTGCCTCTGTCCTCCATAATGCACAACAGAGAGAAAGGCTCATGTAATGGGCTAGGTCAGTGGTCGGCAAACTCATTAGTCAACAGAGCCAAATATCAACAGTACAACGTTGGAAATTTCTTTTGTGGGCCAAATTTTTTTAAACGTAAACTTCTTCAAAATAGACTTGCCCAGGCTGAGGTATTTTGTGGAAGAGCCACACTCAAGGGACCAAAGAGCCGAATGTGGCTTGGGAGCTGCAGTTTGCCTACCATGGTGCTAGGTCATTGTTTGATCTGTCTACTAAGGCAAGGGGTATTCATTAAGGAGCACAGTTTTCCACTAATGATAAACCATCTTGGCCAAGGTCTCAGGTTAAGAGTAGGCAAAGGATGCCCAGAAATGAATGTCCAAAACCCAGCCAGACTCTTGACTTTTTCCAAATTCCTTCCTCCCCGCAGAGTTATAGACTCTCCAGGGAAGGCTGCGAGCTTTCAGGCCTCCTCTGGAGGAAGACTAAGGGTGGAGGCCTGCCAGCCCTGGGCTGTCCCTTCTTCCCACCGAGTCCTGGCTCACCTACTGTGCCCCTTCCTCTAAAAATGCCCCTCCCCCAGCCTCTGTCCCGGGCCACCTCCACCTTCCCAGCCCTGCTCCCCGCGCGGTGGACCCCCAGATCCTCACACCATCCATCTCCAGGCACGCATCCTCTTCAACCACGACAGGCTTGCCTATTTCCTCCAAAAATCAGGAAAAAGAGGGCCAGTCTCCTTCCTCCTGAACGGGTGTGGGGGGAATGGAGCATCTCAAGGTGGGCAGTGGCATGTTCTTCCCAGTGCCTGGGGCTGGCACTCAATGGGCTCTGCTTCAGTGCGGGCCGGCTCAGTCTGCGGGGTGCGGGCAGCTCCCGCCGCAAAGTTTCTTTGGCAATCGAGCGACCCCAGCCACAGGCCTCCAGCCCCTCCCTCGCCCCCGCCTCCCCGGGACTATTCCCCCCCATTCTTCCAGGGACTCCCAGGCGAAGTAAGCATCCTGGAGCACTTTCCTTGCAAAGTGGCTTGGGGAAGGCGGCTCCGCTTCGGGGGTTAAAAGGCAATCACAGCCCCCTCGGGGCTCAGAGAGGCTCCCCCCCCCCCCTTCTCCATCCCCCTCCTCCCCTCCGGTCCGGGTCTGCGTTTCGCAGCTCCGCCGCCCGCTCAAAACAAGCGCAGGGGCCGAGCCCGCGCTCACAGGGAACATTATGCCGGCTCCAGCGGCGCGTAAAATTGATGTGAACCGAACGAAGTGGGATCGGCCTGATCCTCCCTCTCTTGTCTCAACAGGGGTTTCGGCGCGTTACACAAGGCTGAGCTTGTCTCTTTAAGGAGACATTGGACCCTAATTAGTCCGCATTTCTGGCAGGACCGGGGAGCCTGGGGATGGGGTGTTTGGGTTGCAGGGGTGGGGGGGGGGGCGGGCGGGTGGGAGTCCGAGACTCGGGAGGAGACTAACCTCTAGTCCCACCGCCCACTCCAACCTCTTTATTTTGCCGCCACCACCATCGCCACCAACACCCGTTCAGAGGATGCAGCCAGGGCAGCAAGGCAGCCAAGGCGGCGGCAGCAGCAAGCCACCACCGCCGCCGCTTCTCCCGGGCCCACGTTACTTTGATTGACAGCTGAACAAATGTTTGCCGGGTTCGAACGCTCGCGCTCCGGAACGTCAGCCCCGGCGCAGCTCCGCCTAGGGCAGGCCGGCTCCGCCCCGCCTACGCCAGCCCCACTTCGCTCTGTTCATTGGTCCCAGCCGAGGACGACGCCCGGCCCCCACGTGGGGTCCAGCCCGGCCGGCTCCACCCACCCTGGCTCGCCATTTGTCAGCAGTGAAATGATGGGCAGTAACACAGAACGGCGATTAATGTTCAGCCGTCTCTGATTGGTTGCTGGAGACGCCTACTGAGCTGCGAGTGGGCGGGGCGCTAGGAGGGCGCCCCGGAGCGGTCGCGGAGCGGGCCGGTGATTGTAGTCCATCTAGCCGAATCCTTAGCTGGGAGTCGCCAGGGGCGCACTACATCTCCCGAGATGCCCCGCGGCCCCCCCTCCACCCCACGGACGGTGGTGAATATGTATCAGAATGTTAATGATTAGCTGATGCTAAATTTGGTCATAGAAGTCACCTACACAGAGCGTGTTGTTAGAGCTGTTCCGAGCGGCTGTTTGGGCTGTTGGCTGCTGTCTTTTCCCCTCTCTCTCTCACTCACTTGTACATTATTTTGAGGTGGTGTTCGCAGAGTTTCAAAGGGGAGAGAATTTTTTTTTTTTTTTAAAAGCCGCAAGCGTTTCACTCTTGTTTTTTATAATCCCCTTCCATGTGGGGTTAGAAAAAAAAAAAAAGAGACAAGAAAACAGGAAGGAAGAAAAATAAGGAAATGAGATGTGGTCAAAGAAGCTAAAAGGTGCCTTTTAAAAAAGATCGTTGCTGTGAAGTGAGAAAAAAAACAAACGAAAAAAAAAAAATCTCCAGAGAGACCAAAAAGCACGGCCGAGAGACCTCTTCCGAACCAAAGGAGTTTTGTGTTTGCTTTCAGGAACGAAGAGAGCGATCATTCATTCGGAGGAATAACAACCCATTAAAAGACAAATAAAAAAAAAAGTTTGGAGTGGGACGCGCGGAGCGAGAGCGAGGAGCGAGCAAGGCGGGCGTCGCTGCCGGCGGGCGCGGGGGTCCGCGAAGCCCTCACTTTCCGGCCCGGGAGCGGCTGGCGCGGCCGCGGCGCCGGGCTCGGCGGACGGAGCGAACGTCGGAGCGTGGCCGCCGCGAGAGACGCGCGCCGGACAATGCCCGCGGCGGGCCAGTGAGCCCGCGGGGAATGTGGAGCGGCCCGGCGGCCCGCCCGCACCCAGCCGCCGCCGCCGCCGCCGCCTGGGCTCTCCGTTCCTGCCGCCCGCATCACGCGAGACCCGGCGGGGGTCGGGACCGCCCGAGCCGCCCCTCGGACCCGGCCGGCCGCAGCCACCGCCGCCGCCGCCGCCTCCTCCGCCTCCTCGGGGCCATTCAACCCAATGAGCCGCGCGCCCCTGCCCAGCGCAGCGCACTAAATCGGTTTGGATGATTCGCGACCTGAGCAAGATGTACCCGCAGACCAGACACCCGGTGAGTGCGGGCGGCGGGGGCGCGGGCGGGCTCGCGGGGCGGCGGGCGGCTCCCCGCGGCGCCCCTGGTGCGCGCCGAGTTGCGTCCTGGGTGGCAGGGGCGTGTGGAGGGGGGCGGCTCGGACCCCGCGCGTCCGGCTCGGACCCCGCGCGTCCTGCTCGGGGAACTGCCCCTGTCCCCCCATCCCCTGCCCCCTGCGCGGTGGCACTCTCCGAGAGGGGGTGCGGAGAAGCAATTGAGTTGTAGCCATTTTCTTATTGTTGTCTTGGAAGCCCCTGTGCGGAGCCCTGTGTCGTCCCAGCGCCGCGACTCGGAGGGGGTGGAGGAGTGGGGGTGCGAGCGATGGAGGAGGCGCGACTCCGCGCCGGGGCGGGGAGGAGGGCGCCCTCGGCGGCGGCGGCGGCGGTGGTGGCTGCGGCGGCGGCGCGGCGGGTCCGGCGGCGGCGGCGGCGGCGGCTTGGGAGTGCGGGGCCCCGGCCCCGAACGCTTCGGGGCCCTGGGGACTCGCGAGCGGTGGCCTCGTCCCGCCCTCCCCAGACCCGGCTGGCTGCGGCCCGACGCCATGGCGCGCGTCCCCCCGACGGGCCAGTTTCGATTCCGGGTGGGGAGACGGAGCGGCGGGGTGCGCCGGGCGCCGGGCCCCGGGCGCACGCAGCGGGCGCGGGAGGGCAGCGCGGGGTCTCCGACCCGCGGCGTCCGGGGCGGGCGGGGAGGGTGACGCGGGGGGCTCGGGGTCACCCGAAACCGGCTGCTGCAGGGCTGTGCGGCGAAGGGGGGGGGTGGGGGACGGGCGGCGGGAGGAGAGTTTTCATCGCTCTTTGCCGGCCTGAGCGGTGTCCCCCCCAGTTTACCCCCTCCTCCCTCCACCAGCGCCGCGCGGTGTGTTTTCTCCATCTCCCCGGCCTCGCCTGTGATGTGGGCTAATGAAATATTTTATTGTTGTTCTTTAGGCACCGCATCAGCCTGCTCAACCCTTTAAATTTACAATATCCGAGTCCTGTGATCGGATTAAGGAAGAGTTTCAGTTTTTACAGGCTCAGTATCACAGGTAATGATATTTACTTTAGCTGATCCTCCTGTTTGCTTAGCTCTTGTCTCCCCCCCTCCCCCACATACACACACAAACACCTCCCCCTCCCACCACCACCACTATCGGTCCCCCCCCAATTACTATAATTTTTCCTTGTGGGCCGAAAGGGCATGTCAAGGCCTCTTTTTCTTAGGCAGGTGTAAAGAAATGAAGCATTTCCTCCCTTCTCCCTCCCTGTAAATTAAAAAAAAGAAAAAAAAAAAAAGAGGCAGAACAATTGAAACTGGAGAGACTTGGAAAACGCTGAGGCTAAACTTTCGGTATTGATTATTGGGGCCAGGGGAATGGAAGGTTGGGAAGATTCCGGAGCCTTTTGACTCCCGTGGTTCTTTATTACTCTGGGCTTGATTCCTTCTCACTTCTTTCTGCCATTTCGCTGAAATACCATGAGCCGCGAGCTCTGGGAAGTCACAAGTGAGCGATTTCATTACTTTTAAGATGAAAAAATAATTTTTTTTTTTTAAAGAAAAGATCAGTAGGCTGAGATTGCTTTTGAAATATTTTTCTTTCTCTGGCTTCTAAGTGACGTGTAATTCTTATTTTATAAATGCAAGAACCAAAACAAATCACTGAACCCAATCCACACTTTGCCCCCTGGGTGGTGGTATTCAACTTGTCTCTGTTTTGGAGGGAAAAAAAGAAGACATCATTCATAAAGGATGGCTTGATTCATACTTTCATTAATCTCACCGTGGAACATTAAAGGAAAAATTCCCTTGTGACATTTTGGGGGACCTATTTGTGCTCAGATATGTAGACATTGATGTTTATTTTCTTGTTTTTTATTAAGTGAATTAGGGAATATTCAAGTCTGGATGAGGTTCCAGAATTAAATTGGCTGGAGGGTTTTTGTTTGTTTTTCTTAAAACAAAAACCCTACAGTTGATTCTCATTGAAAAGGCAAATCCGGGCTATTTCCAATCATCCCCTTTCTCTCCTGCCTCACCTTGAATAATGAGGGTGGTATTTAAGATAGTTGATTTGGCGTTTTGTCGGTGATGGTTTGGAAGAGAGACTGATTGTCTTTACATTCAAAGGATGTAAGTCAAGATCTGTGTTGTACTTAGATTTCCTTATGTCTTGAACAGCCTGAAGCTAGAATGTGAGAAACTGGCCAGTGAGAAGACTGAGATGCAGCGGCATTATGTCATGGTAAGAAAACTGTGTCATAGGTTCATAGTGTCTAATAGTTTTTGATACCGAAAGCAAGAATACCTTCACATTGCTAGAGGATGCAGGATAGATCACAGTCTCAGTGTCAGTGAAGTTGAGGTTGTGGGGCTGTGACCATTAGCAACCTGTAATTCCAGGACATTACAACTTGCCTCTGATAACCAGCTTTGATTTGAATTTCAAAAACTTCACCTGCATGGGGTATAATTTTCTGTGCTTTGTTTCTACAGATTAGGAAAAAATACAACATCCCATCTCATTTACGTTTTGTTTAGAGTCACAGCAAAATGTTTTTGCTAGTGGTTTTCTTTGTTGTCTTATTGCTTGTGCTCCAAACAATTTTAACCAGTTTTTCTGGAAACTGTTGCAATTTTAATGTTTTATTTCTTTTTAAGAATGACGGATAACAAAATACACCAGATACCTTTTTAAATTTCCCCCACTCTATGTTACTAGTATGCGTGTTGTGCGTTTTCAATTTCCACATTGGTTTGAAGAGTGTTGTCATTTGTATAACCAAATTTCTATAATGCCAGTCATACCACATGTTCAAAAAAAAAAATCAGATCTGCTTTTTCAAAAGTATTACCAAGCATATTTTTATGCTTGTTCATAAAGATCCAGAGTACTAACTCATTCATTTCCTGTCAAGCCTTTTTCCTTTTAATGTATGAATATTAGCAGTGCACCAGGTCTGAGAAACTGAACTCTGAAGTAGCATCACCTTTTTGAACAGTTCTTTCAAAGCATCTGTATTTGTCTGAGACACATATTTGCCATTAACTTGCCTGCTGTGCCTAGGAAATAGAGATTCTGTGGCACCAGATTTTCATCAGACCTTTTTCATTCACCTTCTTGTAATATATAAAGACAACCAGAGCTGTTTAGAATGCTCTTTTTGAACTTGATTTTCTCAGTTTTGTGAGTTATTCTCTTAGAGTCCATGTTTTAGGGTGGTATCCAGTTTATTAGGCTCAAGGTAGTGGTAGGATGTTTCTCATTTAACAGCATAAGCATGGATATTTGGTTTAGGTGAGGCTTTTATGTTTGTTTTAAACATACTTGGGGGCATTTTGAACAAGGGAGATTGTTTGGTGAAAGACATAAAGTTAATTGTTTTTCCTTCTTTGACAGTATTATGAGATGTCCTATGGGTTGAATATAGAAATGCACAAGCAGGTGAGTTATTTATTTCTTTATAACCATTTTAAATGACATTTTGGGAATAAGCTCGTATGTTTTGCAGTGTTATGCACATTTTTGTAATTACAGTATTTTAAAAGACTATTGGTGAGAATACCATTTTTTTCAGGTGTGGTTTTCCCATTTTTGTATGTATGTATTTAATTTTAATAATTAAAAAAAGTGATTTAAAATGTCTGCTACATATTCAACTTTGTACCCTTTTGAAAGTAGGATACTAAATTTTAAAATAGATTTTATTTTTCATTTGAAAGAGTTAATTTTATGTATTTCGGGCATTGCAAACTTGTTAATTTTTTCTTGGAAAATATTAAAAAGGAAAACTAAATTGTTTGTAGCCTCATTAGTTTGGTGTGAAAGAATGGATAGAGAGTGAGCTGGGAGGATCAAAATGAAATCTGTGGCACTAGGAGAGAAATTGATGTAAAATCTTTGTACTGGGCCCCTTGAGGCTATTTAGTTGGGTCTTAACCTTTTGTTACTTCCAAAATTTGTACCGCATAAATGCGGCTGATAAGAGGATGAAAGGTTCAGCACTGGGTCTTGAAACCTATTAATTAGTACAGCCAAAAAAGGAAAAGAAAAAAGATAATCATTAGTCATTAAGCATTGAGAAGTGTAATTCAAACAGCCTGTGTGTGTGTGTGTGTGTGTGTGTGTGTGTGTGTGTGTGTGTATGTATGTATAAAATGACTTATTTTTCCTGGATAGAAAAACAGGATATACATAAAAATATTGTTTGGCAATAATAATTTTTCTAGGAGACATTTGTTTTTTGAAAGTGCTTCAGGTCTGTTTCAACCATTTCCGAGTTAGGTGTGTATGTGTTACCTGCTGGGATAAGACAAGGGAAACTTAATGCTTTCATCTCTTATTATATTCAGGGTGGATGTCACTACCTTCTAGGTTTAAAAAATATAAAGTGATCACACATTAATAGGCTTTTATTATAGATTCCTTTTTGGATGTAGTTAATTACTATGTACTCAGTATACTCAGCAGAGTTTTAAAAGATAACTGTTAGATAATAAGTGATCAAATAGGCAGGCAGTATTTGAAAAAGTTGGGGGGGGTGGAAATGAGTTCTTACATTGAGGAGTTTTTATTTCAGATACATTTTTTACTTTATATGCTATTTGGTTATGTCAATATTAGCATTATAATATAGTTTGCTCCTTGTTAAAATTAGTTTCTTATTTTGGCATCTTTGCCATTTCTGTTTAGATAAATAATGTAAATATTTCCTACTTAAACAAAACCCATGAAGCTTATGATTGGACTCCCCCGTAGCTCTACCTTACAGGAATAAATTACATGAGACATACTATTTGTTAATTATCTCATTACATGTCATTTTAGGTCTGAATCTTGTATACAACTTGTCTTCTTTTTTTGTCCTCACCCCACCATCCAAGATTAATTGGTGTCTTTTTAAAGATTGGACCAGATGATTAATGTCCCTTTATTTGTCCTCCTGTATCTTATTTACCATAGCCAGTTAGCTTCCAGGTCTTTCTGTACCATTTATAGGATGCACAGAGTTGATAGTATTTGGCTGTATGTATTTTTTTTTTTTTTTGGCTGGGGGAGGGCCTGTATGGGAGATCCCTTAATTTTGCACATTTTATACTTTTTGTAATTATGTCATTTTCTTCCCCAGCTGACCTCAAATGCCATCTATTTAAAATTGAGAATGGAGTACGTTTTCCCTTTTTTTCCTCTTGCTTTTAAATTCAATCATATCAAGAATCCTGAGGGCAGTTTATCACATTATGAAATACAGACAGCCCTGCAAACCACCTACTTATTATATTTTCTTTCTTTTCCCCCTTAAGCACAGAGGCATATCTGTCTTTATTTGTTTTCCTAGGCAGACAGCCTTAGTTCCTCTTGGCCTCTCTTCCAGATGCACTTCTTGGATGCCCTCGTAATGGAAAGCAGCAATAATGCAGGGAAGTTGCCCTGCGGCATAATTGGGCCTCGTTCTCAAGATCGGGTTAGGCTTATTCACTTATTAGATTTGAGTCTCTGAAGGGTTCAAGAGCAGGAGTCCCCGGAGTCTTTGGAAGCACCCTAGTAATCGGTGGCCCTGATATTTGAAACCTTTGTGTATTTTTTTTTGGTTAATGCTCCTGTTCTTCTTGGCTGCTGCCAGCCACAGAGTATTTATTTTTAGAGGAATTTTTCATTGGAACAGAAAATGATGGCTGTGCTGGAGTCATGACTCTGTGACTTAGCAAATTGATCAGAGGATAAAAGCACAAAGCAGTGACAAACGGGGTTGGGGGAGGGGGTCTGGTATTATGGCCCCTCCCCTTTCTGTATGATGCTCATTGTCAGTTACCCTGTGTTGATTCTGATAGAGGACTATAAAGTGAAACCTATGGGGAATTTGTCATTCTGAAATGAAAGCTAATGTAATTAGTACCAATTAAAGTACATTTAGTAAATTGGATTTAATCTTAATTAAGCCTGC